AGTGGTCGCCTCACCTTTCTGGCTGCTTAGTTCTTTGAAGACTCTTTTTATTCTACCCCTAAATGAGCTAGTTTTCCCGAGTTTTATCCATGGCCACCTTCTTCACTGACCGTATTCTCATTAGATGCCCTGGCCTCAGCCGCTTTAATAAAACTCTGATGGCTCACAAGGATAAGAGATTTTTGATCTGAGCTCCAGGCTTTTGTTTGTAAACAATCTTAAATAGCTCTGAGATAACTGGTGACTCAATGTGTTCCAAACAGAGCTTATCTCCACTGCTCTGGAAGATGGCCAAGATGACTGTCAGTGTTTCTCATTTTCCAGGATCACATCCATGAACCAAAGCAAAGAATAGGCCTGTGCATTGGGTATCGTTTGTAATTCTTGCTTATTCCCAGCATTTCCCACGATGCTCTCTGTATTCAATTATAAACATTTCTGGACCTAGAATCCCTCATTGGGTGTGTCGGGAAAAGCTTGAACAATGGTTTCTTGTCTTTAAGGAGCCTTTGAGGTTTTTACTCTTGTTGTTATTTTTCAAGACAAAGTCTCACTAGCTCTGGCTGTCCTGGATCTCACTATGTAGACCAGGCTGACCTTGATCTTACCAAGAATCTGTCTGCCTCTGCCTCCCACATACTGGGATTAAAGGTGTGGGCACTATGTCTGGCATGCTTTTGAGTTTAAAAAATATGTATTATTTTTTTCATCTTAAAGGCCCTCAATGTGTGTAACCAGTAAGAAATGATATTTCTATTTGGGCTTGAAGTTACCTTAAGTTGTCTACACTGCTTCCTCTCAGCTCCTGCACAGCCAGGTCACAGGTGCCCTCACACTGGCCGGGGTGGCGGCGGATCTTTTAAACAGTCTGTTTCCTTCCTTTTTACACAATCAGGACAAAAGCAACACACAGCATGAAAATTAATTCCACCTCTCAGTATCAATGGGTTCTGGAATTTCTTGGTAGATTTTCATTAACATGAGGATGCCAGCACCAGATTCACTGGCTTGTAAACCAGATTATTTAGGTCACAACTGTAATGATAATGTTTTAACCTTGCAAGCTTTCAGTAAATGAGCTTCTAGAAATTTCTTACTGGGTGCAGAAAGGAGAACAGAGTTCAGGACAGTAACATTAACTCTTCTCCACTGTAATTTACAGATGCAAATGAGGTTAAAATGAGCCGCGGTCTGAAATACAGCTAATTGGCTGCCTCTTTGAACCTGCCTTCCCTCACATTCCATATAGAAGACACACAAAACATACCTCAACCACTAACCACAGGGTTCTCTGAGGGTGTGTGTGTGTGTGTGTGTGTGTGTGTGTAGGCCAGAGGACACATCCTGTGTTGTTCCTTCCACACAGTCCTTTTTTTTTGGAGACAGGGTCTCTCACTGACCACCAAGTGGGCTATGAGCATGTGCCACCACACCTGGATTTTTACACACGTTCTGGGGTCAAAATCAGATCTCTTTAACTCCAGCTGAGATCTTACTCTGTCTCTGGTCTTTTCCTTTCCAATCTCCTACCACCAGTGCTGGGAATTGGATCTAGGGCCTCACCCATGCTAGGCGAACACTCCTAAGGAGCTATACTTCCAGTTTACTCCATTATTTCTTGCAGCTTGCTGGGTAGCTCTTCCCACATACACTGACGACTCCAGAATTCTCCCAAACAAAATGTTGAGTACCAAACTCTCCTTCCTAAATTTCTCTTTGGAAAGCCTCTCTGTTAGTAAGTTCATAACCATGGTCAATTTCTACCCAATGGTTACAAGCTAGACATTTAACCTATACAATCACTTCTACTAGATGGAGGTGTCCCTGGAGGCAGGGACAGTTTGGGATCTTCTGTGTCTTCACTTCCTAACCCCGCGTGTGCCTGGACATCTTCAGGCAAATGTCTTAACAAGTGTTTGCTGAATGAATTACCAACTGACTGCATATCCTTTACTCCTTACTCTGCGCATTGTTTGAGCCGAGGTTGGACAACTCCAACAGCACCCTCACACCTCTTGCCACAGCCAGAGGCCTAGCCAAACCCTGTGGAACTTCTTGGAACACTCAAGCATCCAGTTTGTATTATTTTGGGCTATTTCCAATCTTTTTGCATGGTTTCACTTCTTTTAAAACCCTTCTGATTATTTCTGAAATAAACCTTGTCTAGAGTTTCTAGGGATTGGATTCAGCCGGCATTCTCCTTGCTGTTACACTCTAATCTTCTTCACTCGGATCCTCTACCCCATCCCTAAAAGCATGTGCCTGTGCCTGTTTCACACCCCACCTTGGTGGTTTAGTCCCAAAGCAGTTGGTTCATTTTGCTCCTGGCACCAGCCTTGGCATTCAGTGTATTGGTTGCCTTCAGGGAGCCTCTGCTGCAATCTTGGCTCTCAGTTACCTGGTTCATACTGTTATCAACATCATCATGCCATGCATGTGTGGTGTTTCTTCACATGTGAATAAGCCAAATCTGTAGAATGTGCTTACTGCGCAGTGTTCATGTTCCTGGGTTTAAGAGACATCTGTTGATGGTGTGATGATCTAGCACAGGTGTGTAGTAACCATGGCTACATCTTAGGGGTGTGTCTTATCTGCAGAGTTGGGTGACAACACTTACCTAGAGATTGCAGATTAAATGTAAAGCTGTTGCCATGTGCCAGGAAACTGGATTTGCGACATCTCACTGTTGCAGTTATGACTAGTTTAGAAGATTAACCTGTTCTAGGCCATCTGCCTCACTAGGCAGAACTAATCCTGTCTTTTAATATGGGACCAAAGAAAAAACTGACCTTCCCCTTGTAAACTATCATACACAAGCTCTTTTCCCATTGAAAACACTGCAGTATCAAGGATATTCTTGGAAAAATTAAGTGATCTCCATTAACTTGACCTTCAGTGTTAATTCTAAATGGAAAGTGCCATTGACTACCCTGAGAATTGGAGTTAAGTACTTAGCTGTCACTGTGACAGCCCGATCTCATCACACAACGTGCCTTGTGCTTTATCAATCAAATCAAAGAACTTGAGTATAACATATACACACGCACATACATATAAGACGAATCTATACAGTGATTCAGGTTTTGACAACAGTAAGACTGGCTGGAAGGGCAAGGATGATGGTCTTGTTAGCCTCAACTGTTGATGGGAAATCACTCCGTATGAGTCAAGACCTGAGAGGAGCAGGCGTGCATGTCAAAGGAAAATAAAACTAAAACGGCGAGACGCGGCAGACCTATGGGGAAGGACATCCTAACAAAGAAAGCCCTTTGTCTGGGAAGAACAAGAGCAGGTCCGGCGCTAGACCACAGACAACAGTTGACGAGAGTGGCCAGCCCCAGGAAAACCACCAGATGCCTCTGCTGAGCCGGCTCCTGGCAGGACTCCACCTACACATGCACTACTTAGGCATCTTCCTACGTCCTTAAGCCTAAGGGACCTGCCAAGAGAGGGTGCCGAAGACAGAGGAGAATGGCCTAGGACTGTGTGTGGGTGCTAAACATGGCACTTCAGACATAAATTTATGAGGAGAAAACTTTGAGTACAAAGATGACTCAAAAGGTTTCAGAATGTGTAGATACGAAGCATAGGCTGATCTGTAATGCCACAGGCTCTCACCCACAGCGAGCCTCGTGGGCTGATGAGAAAACTGTTTGGACTGCTAGGAAACTTCAAAAGCTGACACTCTGACGTTGAGGGAGAAGACCCCTTTTAGCCTTTGCTGTAGCACCCCCATCTCGAGCTGATGTTACATACTTCCCTGCATTCTGAAGCACCAGGCCTTGATGGCAGCACCTAGTAAGAACATTCCTTTGGGCTTGTGAAGCAGCAAGCTGATTCTCTGGAGAATGCACCATGAGAACTTAAATAGACAGCAGTTATAAAGGTTTTTTTTTTTTAAAAAAAAAAAAAAACAGGATGCTAAGAGCATAGCTTGGGGACAGTGTTGACCTTGGATTCAAGAGGCTCTGGGTTCAACTCTAGGACCATAAAAAAAAAATGGATTAAGGTTCTGGAACCTAAAATTGTATTGATGTCTTTCTCAATTTCTATCAATGGAAAATTGTTTTGTGACGCTGTGTAGAATGAATAGTTCAAAAACACTCTACTGAAAGTTTGCAAAGGCAAGCAAACCAACTGAGAATAGTAAGTGCCAGTCACACCCAATGGGGGCACTTTCCCACCGAGGTGTCTTAGTTGTGGTAATCGGTATGCGCTGTACACAGAAATTAAACGAGCAGGCCACTGAAGTGGCTCGTGGTGAAGGTGTCGCACAAGCCTAGCACGGGTGTGTTCAACCCCGTGCCGAGAGCCAGCTCCGCCAAGCTGTCCTCTGTCCCAAGTGTATGCCAGGGCACATGTGTTGCTCATAAACTGTGCACACACAATAGGCAGCACATGTATAAAAAATTTGATGGTCGTTGTTTACACTTGAATATATACAATTTTTATTTACCAATCAATGTTTTTCCTTTTGAGAACAGTCTTCCTGTGTAGGCTGAACTCAAACTCACAGAGATCCCCACCTCAACCTTCAAGGGCCGACTAATGACTGGCATTGCACTGGCCCAACCAAGTATTTTCAAACTAAAAAAGCAAAAAACAGTAGTAGCTAGAATTTCACATGAGTGCTGAGAAAAACCCTAAGATGAATGTTTTGTGATTTATTTCAAATGTTCTTTTTTGAAGGTCATATTGAATTACTATAGAAATATTAAACATTTTCTTTAGTTGAAGATGAGCTGGCAGAAACCAGCCTTTAATGTCTTTATGGACACTATGGACTTTATGAGACTTGGACATAAGTGGAGCTCTCAGAAGAACAATCGTGGAAATTGTGACCAGAGACTCAGACTTCAGGGAGACTAGAATGCAAAAGGACACTGTTGTAATGCCTAAGAATTATGTGCCCAATAGATGTGAGAATATGAAGGAAGGAAGAAAGGAGTTCTAACAAGCCAAATTTATAATGAAACCAGTTATTATTTATCATTCTTCTAAAAACCATGGTAAAAATGCGCTAAACAAAGGACATGTGTAAAGCAAATGTAAAACTTGAAAAAAATAAGAACTTAAATCTCTGATTCATATTTTCTGCGTAAGAAGCAGTGATTCTTTTTCTTCGTTCACGTAAGTCAGTAGAACTAGAAGCCATGGAGGCTCTGCAGCTTTAACCATCGCACATTCAGAAACAAAAGCTTTGCCCCCAGTGTTAGCTTTCGACCACTGAGGCATCACCCAAGCCTGTAGAGTCCCTGTGGAAACAGCCATCATCACCTTTTCTGAGGTTAATCTGTGTTTTCCATAGCACTGTCACTGTCAAGTTTCGATGACACTTGGTCATGGTGGAGCCCACTGGAGGATCTCATTTGTGAGGATGCCCGGAGCTCACAGCAAGTGAACAGGCTTGAAGTCCCTGAAACAATGCTTGCACACAGCTGGACCAGAAGTGGCTTTTAATGAAATACTTGCTACCGTATTTCCTCGCAACCTACAAGGGAGAGATGTGGGCTCCTGCTCACCGCGGTGACAACCTGCTTGGCTTTCTTTTGAAGATTCAGAGAAGCATCCAAGTCACACACAAAATGGTGCTGTGCCAATAATATTTAGCCATTTCAAGTGTGAAATGTGTGGACCACATGCTAGAAAAGGCCTCCCAAGGTGACCATGACCTATCTGGTCTACAGTGTGAATTCAAGGCCAGTTCGGGCCAAGTTAATAACCCTGTCTCAGAATAAAAATGTAAAATGAGTGCTGGGATTATCACTCAGCGGTCGAGCCCCGGTCCATGTGTGAGGCCTGTGTGTCCAGCCCTCGGCGTCACAGAAAGAAAAAGGATAATGTCACCCTGCCCCGACATGCTGTAAGGGAGGCGAGTGGACAAGCATCACGGCTGTGGAAGGCTCTCAGCATCGGTCCATGAGGCACAGAAATTCTTTATTGCCACAGGAAGCAAGTGCACTCATCATCTTAAACAGAATTCACACAACAAAGGATAGATAACACACACCTGGGGAGACATGGTCCCTTGGATGATATTGGCTGTAATACTGAGGTAACCAATTGACCCTTTTCAGTGAAAATATCTTAAACAAAATGAAAAAAAATTCACTAGTTATAACATCTAATTTATATATACCATTCAAATAAAAATATATATTATTTGCTTTAATGTATAGCAAGTTTAATACATTAGTGTTTACAAAATAAAAACTGTATTCTACTGAAATTTTTTTGTGCTTCTTTTTCTCTAAGCTTGGAAGTCAGAAAAGTAGGTTACTTAAGGAAACTAACTTCTAGATTTAAAGATGCAGGTTCTAGGTCCAGGAAAGACAGACAAACGCCAGCTGGAAGATCACCGCATCTTTTAAAACTTGCATGTTAAAATCTACAAACCTGAACTGTAAGACACAATTTTTTAAAAAAAGGACCACAAAAATGTCTCAAAATAGATTACAGAATACAGGAAATGGTCCACGAAAGTACCGGGATACTGACCAGTGCTGTGGCTAATATTAAAAACGGAATGTTCTATTTAAATGGTATCACCTAGCTCTACTTCACAGCACACTGTGAAACCACAATAGTCAACACCAAGGTAGCAACAGGGGTCAAGGTCCCTAAGATACTTCTTAACAGACAAAAATGCCGTGTTCCAACAGAAACCTGTAGGAAGGGGAGAAAGCCTTTTGATGGTGTAAAAGTTCTTTACTGGTGTTTCTACTTTAACACTCTTCTACAGGTCGGAATGAGAGGTGACCATGTGACAGTGATTAGAGACTCTGGTGTGGACATCTCATCTAACCTTTGGTCAACAGAGTTCAGCAGAAGAGATCAGGAACTAATATTTATTACAGCCGTGGTCTAAAGCAGAACTAACAACAACACACACTCCATGTCAATTCACCCATGTCATTACCATCTTTATCGCATTTAGGGTTAACTTACTGTGCCTTAATTTACTTAACATACTCTGAAACATCAATGCTTAAGCCAAGGCTTTTACACATTAGCCCATTTATGTCAAGGCTTCTGCCCCACTTTCTTACATCTTGAGCAGCTGTCATGAATGTAGCCTATCTCATCTTAGAACTATTAGTCCAATTTTTAATTTGTGCATTGATTAAACCAATGAAAGTGGTATTATTTAGTGAAGGCTACACATTTCCTAGTAACCAAAATCAATTTTAATCAAGTAATAAGTACATTGTCTTTTCCTTGGTGTAAACTGCGTATTTGTCCTCCATCTTTCTCCAGTCGCTGCCACCGTGCCAATAACTACATCGCTTAATCTTTCTTTTTATGACTGCAAAAGTCCTAAATGTTGATGAGTAACATTTACCGTAAATACACTTAAAGTAGACAACAAAATTTCAAGTAAAAAGAATGGTATCCACATCTATTAGACCAAAAGGTCTCAACACCTAGATTTGCTTCTATAAATTACACAGACACATTGTACATTCTTAAATAGTGAATGCCTACAATATTGAGCCTTTCCACATGAACAACGTACACAGGAAGGTAATGGTCAGTGTTTGTTACATTGCAACGCTCTCTTGATTCCCTCCTCTGGGGCTGCGGCTTTGTCCCAGTTTCCACAGACGACTGTGTGAGTTCTTACGCTTTGGCTATGATCTGTTTGAGCTGAATGAGGCAACACTGGTTATTAAGGCTTATTCTATGATGGAGCATTATCCTTGAATCTGGTGCCATTTCCAGAGAACGGTGGGAGAATCTCAGCTATCTTGAGTCGTCAGGCTCTGTTTTAATAACTTTCTTTTCCAAGGTAAAAGCAGAGTGAGGGTAGTCTTTTAAGATCCCAAGGCTCTCTGCATAAAACAAAACCAGAAAGAGTCAAGTTATTAACCCTTGCCTTCACAGCAAATATTATTAACTATTTACAATTGTGAAATTTCACATGGAATTGTATTTACAGACTCATGGTTAAAAACATGAGTTCTGGCTGAACACGGTAGTGATGTATTCCCAGGACTCAGGATGCTGAGACAAGGGGATTGCTTCAAGTTCCATGTACGTCTGAGCTATGTGGAGAGTACCCAAACGAAAAACAAAACCAAACCCAAAACAAACCAGTTACATTTAAATCCCAACTAGCTGTAAGTTAGTGTGAGTGAGCTGAACCTTCATGCCCTTACCTCTAAAACGAGGGAAATCTGCCCACAGAGTAGGGCAAGGGATAAACACGAAATGCACATGAATAAACAGACCTTTTAAAATGCTTGGTGCACTGTGGTATAGAATCAAACAGATCCTTCACATACAAATGTTAATAGATAAAATATTTACCACAAAATTGTGATTGCAATACATCCTCACTGCTAAAGATGAAACTATGTCTAAAAGTTCCATGGCACTGTAAACAGGGGTTAAGTGGGAATAAAGAATGAAGAGTTTACGTTCCTAAGTAAAGGTCCCATGGAGTTTTAAAAGTTATTTGAACAATGTGAAATGCAATCTTTACATAATGCACTAATAAAGATATATACACATAAATACATTATATACATGAAAACATGTGGGCTAATACGCATACATGAAACACACACACACACACACACACACACACACACACACACACACTCTCTCTCTCTCTCTCTCTCTCTCACAGATCCTTTGAAAGGGCCATAGAAAGCAAACCAACATGTCTGTCTACCCTATCTGAACACAGGTAGGTAATCCAATGTATGTAGGCAGCCTCTCTATACAGAAAGAGATTTAAATTGCACTTAGGAGTAAGAAAAACAGCCACAATGCTTGAATTTTTACCAGCTGCGCATCTCACACTCTCTTGTTCATGGCTTACAATGACCTGTGAAGTATCCACTTTACAGAGGAATCCATGAGAAGCATGGAGAACGAATTCCAGGTCACTTGGTCTTACCACATGGAATCTGTGTCATTTCTACTCATTTTTTTTAAAAAAAGAAAACATTTTTCAATGGACTGACACTGGGCATATAAAAACCACACTCCAGACAGGCCCCATGTTCAGAAGTCACTGGCCACCGTGAATCAGACTCCATGGGGTTTTGTTCTGTGAGTGTGGGGTGGGGGTGGGCTTTTGTCGTCTTCTTCTTCTTTTTTTTTTTTTTTTTAAGAGAAAGAACATCAAGTTGTGTGAGTAATGAGGTAGGGAGGATCTGGGAAAAACTGAGAAGGGAAGGGCATGATCAAAATATAGCGTATGAAATTCTCAAAAAATAAAAAAAGTTTAAAAACTAAAATTAAATCTTAAAAAGAAAAGCAAAAACTCTTTTTTAGGTATTCCTTTGTTCTGCTCTATGTAAAATCCCAGCTTAACTATCTCCATGTAGCAGAGATACCAAGTGTGTCCCCACGGTGACACAAAGTGTAACCAATGTAACTGCAGGATTTCTTTTATGTAGGGTCTTTGAAGCAATATGAGTTTGTGGAAAGCATGTTAGTTTGTCAAGAACTTGGAAGAAGAGCTTGCTTTTTCATATTGGTGAAAAGAGGAGACCAATTTGCTATCACTTGAGGACAGTTTCATTGGTCAACTTCTTTGACAGTCCATGTGAAACAGTGGATTGAGGGTCACAAGGTACAGGACAGAATTTAGCACAGCAGCCTTTTCTGCCTCTGGAAACATGAACAGAAAGATGCAGGCTGTCTGGACAACTTCCTAGTTAATCCTCAATCCACCATCAGCATAAAGTCCTGTTCCTACGACTTAATGTACAAATTCAGCAAACTGTCCTGCCTGGTCTCAGCTGCCCCATCTCTAAAACCAAAGACCGTGATCAAGTGATTCCTATAGTTACTTTTACTCAAAGGCTGATTGACACCAGACTCTCCTAAGCGGTGCTGGCATCTACTAGCCAATGCTGTGCGATTCATTTTACCATAAAACTGCACCCTAAAATGCACCTATCTGCATGCATAGTCAGGTTCTGGTACACAAGGCTTTCTCAGCAAGAGACCAGGTGTGGAGCCCACCTGTGTCATATCACAGTATTGTCAGAAAAGAAGAGCCAGTCTAACTCATCCTAACCATTTATTATTCAGCTTAAACTAGCTACAGGCTGCCATCCATACAATGGCTTGTCCAGTAGTCTGAACTCCATGAGTCTTCCTTGTCATTCCTTACAATACGAAACTCTCAAAGAGGCTGGCTAATATTCTGGTAATCTATGATTTCCACTGTTCAGCAGAACTAAGGGAATGTCACCCAGGTTTTCTCCGATCGCAGACACTGCATTCTCACCTGATGAGTGGGACTTGGCCTCACTGGAGTAAAGTCTGCTCAGCTCCCCATCGACCACAAAATGATGGGGCTGTCTGTTCTGTACATCAGGCATTCGGAGATTCAAAGGTCGTTCTCCTAACGGGAAGGAGAGAAGGAAGGAAGAGAGAGAGGGAGGGGAGGAGGGAGGAAGGAAGGAAGAAAGGAGAGAAAAAACAAAGTAACATTTAAAACATTCCCAGTGTTCTTTATCATTTATTTTCTGTTTGATTTCCTAAATAAATGTTCACAGATTGCCGGAACACACCTTATGAAGAAGGAGACATGTCAGGAGGCACGGAAACACTATGCTAACTGGGGAAAGACTTTTGAAACAACTTGGGAGGGAAACAGCAAGTCTTTGATGCTGAAGAAACAAACCGCTGGGGTATGGATAGAGCTAGGATGAACCAAACAAGAGACGCACATTTCTAGAAGCTCTCCAGCACTCACTGTATTAACACAGCTCCTCTGTAAGACATTTTCCTTAACACTGTACCCATGGACTAAGGCACGCTGTTACCGAACCACACATTTAAAAGGGAAGACAGAGCTAGGCAGTGGTGGTGCACACCTTTAATCCCAGCACTCAGGAGGCAGAGGCAGGCAGATCTCTGTGAGTTCAAGGCCAGCCTGGTCTACAAAGCAAATTCCAAGATAGCCAGGGCTACACAGAGAAACCCTGTCTCGGGGGAGAAAAGAAAAAAGACAAAAAGAAAAAAAGAAGAAGAGAGGCAGAGATGGCTTCAGGCCAATTATAGTTTTGTTTTTGTTTTTAAGCACAACCCATGAAAAATTAACGAGTGCAGATACAGTAAAATGCTTTATAAACTGCATTATATTATCCATCACAGCAAGTTATGCTAGCGTCATAAATCAAGCTCCATCAAATCTTTCATAATTGTGATTGCTTGACCATTAACTCTTAGAACAGAGAAATTAAGACCTCAACTAAAATGTTTTTGTCATGTTTTAGAGGAAAATCTTTCTTTCACTCTCATGTCAGGATCTAGGGCTTGCTAACATGCTATTCTTATTTGGATGGGGAAAAAAAAACAACCTTTGGCAATACACATCATCCAAGGGATTAACATCCAGAACATATAAAGGAGTACAAGAATTAGTCACCCAAACCTCTAACCTTCCAATTAGTAGCTGTACTAATGAAATGATTAGATAACTCTGAAAAAAGAGGAAAAGAAATACACATACTCCCCATATGCTTAAAGATGGCTCAACATTCTCAGCTATTAGGTAAAAGCAAATGAAAATTGAAATTGCTTTGAGATTCTGCCTCACCCCGGTTAGAACGGCTAACATTGAGAAAACAAATGCCAACCAATGCCAGAGAGGATGCAGGGCAAAGATCCCCACTCACTGCTGGCGAGAGTGGGCACTGGTGCTCCCAGACTACTGGGAACTAAACACAGAACCACCATCTAACCCAGCTCTACCGCTCCTGTGTGTATGTCTGCAGGGAGCCAGACCTCCTACCCCAGAGACATGCACACACTTGGCTGGTGCTGCACTGCTCACAAGGGCTGAGACATCAGCCAGGCCCAGGTGTCCACCGGCAGATGAACGGGAAGGAACACAAGGCACAGACGCACAGGCGAGTTTTATTCAGCCGCAAAGGAAAGTGAAATGGTAACACTTGTAGGAAAGCAGATGGAATGGGAATCATTATATACTATGTTAAGTGAGATAAGCTAAATTTGGAGACAAACACCACATTTTCTTTTGTCTGTTGGACCTAGGTGTGTGTGTGTGTGTGTGTGTGTGTGTGTGTGTGTGTGTGTGTGTGTGTGTATGATCAAACAAGAAAGGAGGCAATGAGCTGGGAAGAAGGGATTTTAGGGGAGGGCGAGGGGAAGAAGAGGGTAATCCGACACTGACATGAATGGGGCCATGGGAGAGAGGAAGGTTCTGGGCAGGAGGGTAAACAGAACCCAGTCTGCATGGAATGCAGGAAGGTAAACAGAACCCAGTCTGCATGGAATGCAGGGGGGTAAACAGAGGACAGTCTGCATGGAATGCAGGAGGGTAATCAGAGCACAGTCTGCATGGAGTGCAGGGGGGTAAACAGAACCCAGTCTGCATGGAATGCAGGAGGGTAATCAGAGCACAGTTTGCATGGAATGCAGGAGGGTAAACAGAGGACAGTCTGCATGGAGTGCAGGGGGGTAAACAGAACCCAGTCTGCATGGAGTGCAGGGGGGTAAACAGAGGACAGTCTGCATGGAATGCAGGAGGGTAAACAGAGGACAGTCTGCATGGAATGCAGGAGGGTAAACAGAACCCAGTCTGCATGGAATGCAGGAGGGTAAACAGAGGACAGTCTGCATGGAGTGCAGGGGGGTAAACAGAGGACAGTCTGCATGGAATGCAGGAGGGTAAACAGAGGACAGTCTGCATGGAGTGCAGGGGGGTAAACAGAGGACAGTCTGCATGGAGTGCAGGAGGGTAAACAGAGGACAGTCTGCATGGAATGCAGGAGGGTAAACAGAGGACAGTCTGCATGGAGTGCAGGGGGGTAAACAGAACCCAGTCTGCATGGAGTGCAGGGGGGTAAACAGAGGACAGTCTGCATGGAGTGCAGGAGGGTAAACAGAGGACAGTCTGCATGGAATGCAGGGGGGTAAACAGAGGACAGTCTGCATGGAGTGCAGGGGGGTAAACAGAGGACAGTCTGTATGGAGTGCAGGGGGGTAAACAGAGGACAGTCTGCATGGAGTGCAGGGGGGTAAACAGAACCCAGTCTGCATGGAATGCAGGAGGGTAAACAGAACCCAGTCTGCATGGAATGCAGGGGGGTAAACAGAGGACAGTCTGCATGGAGTGCAGGAGGGTAAACAGAACCCAGTCTGCATGGAATGCAGGAGGGTAAACAGAACCCAGTCTGCATGGAGTGCAGGAGGGTAATCAGAGCACAGTCTGCATGGAGTGCAGGGGGGTAAACAGAACCCAGTCTGCATGGAATGCAGGAGGGTAAACAGAGGACAGTCTGCATGGAATGCAGGAGGGTAAACAGAACCCAGTCTGCATGGAGTGCAGGGGGGTAAACAGAACCCAGTCTGCATGGAGTGCAGGGGGGTAAACAGAACCCAGTCTGCATGGAGTGCACCATCAAAGCATTACTTTGTGTGAACTTGAGGCATTTTTTAAAAGATGGATTCTTACTTGGAATGAGGAGATACCAAGAGTGGTAACTCCTACCTGCTAGAAAGTGAACAATACATAAAATAAAACAATATGAAAATACTGTCTTCCTTTGGCTGTTTAGCAGTATTTGGGACCGCAGGACCCATTTCCAGGTTTACACGGCATGCCTCTCTACCTGGCCTCTCTACCTGAAGCTCAGTGGCACGTGAGCAGCGATGTCTTCTGAGCCGCTCTGCCTTCTGGGCTTAGAGGCGTGCCTGGCATACAGAAAATACTTCAAAAAATCCTCTGAACGAGTGAGTAACAATGACTGGGATCTTCTTCATGCTGAAGACATGAGAAAAGAAAAAGAATTTTCACAGTAAAAACACTCATGACTTGCTGAACTCTCTAGCATGGACTGTGTTCTGTGTTTTAGAGATAACTACCACGTCCTCTTAGGAAACAAATGTTACACCATTTAAAGAAAGATGTTATGATCATTTTGAAAAGGTGGGGGTGTACCTCAGTGGAAGGCCCTAGGTTCAATGCCTGGCAAAACAAGGAAACAGATTCCATCTAAGAACTGTCTTTGATGAACCTGTTTTTTTTTGGGGGGGGGAAATGGCCTATAAGCTCACACCCCCATCCTGACCAACCTCTACAAGACACATGTGCAAACCTAGTATAGGAATGATAAAATTTAAGGATTTCAGAAATGAAAATGTACGGGATGAATACTTTCCTTTGAAAAGGAACTAGTTAAAAAAAATGGATTTTCACAGGGATAAAATAATCCCTTCAAAATACTGATTTAAATCTAATCCGTTCTCCCCATTTCTCTGTGAAAGGCGCACGGTGCTGGCTCGAAGGCCGGGTCACTGCAGGGGCGCACCTTGTCCGTCGGAGCCATCGGAAGGCAGGCCGTCCGGGCTGTGCTCTCCGGAGCTCTGCCTGTAGAGCCCAGCTGTCAGCCTCCTCTCCTGCTGCAGCCTCTCGTAGCTGGCCTGGGCACACAGCAGCTCCATCTGCTTCGCCATCCCCTTCTCAGCCTGCTAGAAAGTAAAGCAAAAATAAAACCAACAACCACAGCATCCTAGACGTCTTAATAGCTTAAAGTTACCAATTTCAGACTCCGGCAAATGTATTTAGTATTTATTAAAATGAGCTCACGCTTCCTGTGGTATGCTTGCCTCCATAAATATGAATAAATGTCTGCGTCATGTGAGATACTGAGTTTGTTCAAAAGGTTGTCTTTTCAGTCCCATAAAGAGAATCCCGTGTGAGCTCAAAAACAACATAACCTTCACTTTGTTTTCCAAGGTCGTGGGTCTTTTAAAGGATTTCCCTTCTTTCTTTCTTAAAAAAAGAAAGAAGAACTCAAGAGCACCAGCAACATCTGCTGTCAACTACACTGAACACAGGGTGAAATCCTGGCATTTTATTTTAGGATCTGGCACTATCCAGACTCTGCTGATGACAGCCTGCCTGGAGGAGAAAAGGTGTAAAACGGCTGTCTAGAGGAACAAGACAAACACACCTCCCACCAAAATTAAACAATGCAAATTATGCAGAGCAGCATCCATGCCGGCAAGGATCTCTGCCTCCGCCCCAGAGAGAAGCGGCATTTTTCCCCACCAGGCATAAACGGACATGTTTAAAATACAAGGCTGGTGTGTGTGACATATAAAGTCATCTCCGCATGTATTCCAGAAGCTCCTTTTGTATGCACCGTTCTAAATTACTTGCCTGTGGTATTCAAAGCAGCGTATCTATGACATTTGCCAAGGAAGTAATAGTCAAAATGCAGATATGATTCATTAACATGTTATGTAAAAGTACTATAAGGATCCTGCTATATAAAATTGGTTACAAAAGTTATGATTCACAATTTTAAAAATCAATAGATGGAACACAGAATGAATTAAATAACTAGAAAGAATGCCCATCCTACTTTTCTAAATGTGCACAAATCAAATCAAAGGTAACAATAACCTCATTTCACTTGAAATTTAACCCATTAACCGATGGCATTTCAGCGGGCAGTTCCGAGAGGGAAACAGCCTTTACCCTCTTCTCCCCAGTGACCAGGACTGGCAATACTCCATGTGAATGTAAACAGCTCTGCGGTGCTGTCTAAAAGGGGCACTCACACATGGACTTTGGAAATGTCCATTTCTGAGCACAGACATAGTTAAAAATTCACTATAATTTGGGGGTGGGGGATGGCTGATGCAGCACAGCACAGGCTGGACAAGCCTGAGAAGCCACGTTCAAACCCCAGCACCCGCATGAAGAGCAGAGCGTGGCGGATGCACTGTGATCCCAGCACTGGGGAGGCAGAGCTCAGTGGATCCCTGGGGCTTAGCAGCAGCATAAACACGATGGAAGGTGGACGGCTCCTGAGGAATGACACCCACGGCTTCCCTCTGGCCTCTACAGACAGGTGCACACGTGTACACACACCTATACCCACACAAACACGCACTCCCTCACATATATACAGGAATTAATAAAATTATCCAAAGCCACACACTAATTTAACAATTCCTCAGTGAGGCTTTAAATGAGGTAAGAGTTACAATGTCGACAATATGCGACTGAGATCTTGTGCGACTTTACCTCAGAATTGTGCTGTACACAGCCATGCTGAGAATAAAAGAGAATGTCCCATTTCCTACAAGTAAGTAATGTCTTATCAGATTCTGTTCATGAACCAAATGAAACCAAGTCGTTCCTGCCACCGGACAGATACAGCTGTGGAGAAGTCATTTTAACAATAACCAGAGAAGGACTCAATCCTCAAAACCCTCAATCTGAAGCAGCCCCGTCTTCAAGCCCACAGCTGTCTGCACGAGGTGGGCTGGTTACCTGGGAATTGAGTTCTGCAAGCCCCTCGCTCTTGGCTCTGGTCTGCTGGAAGAGCGTGTGCACCGACTCCTGGAAGTCTGGAAAGCCGTCCTGTGGGGCAGATCACAGGGCCTCAATACCTGGACTCTGTTATCACATGAAGCACAAACAACACTTCATCTTCAGCAGTGATCGGCTGAGGCCACAGAGCACGCCAGTCTTAGGCCACCATGCCTTGTGTTCTGCAGCCAACCACAAATGAAGAACATGGGAAATGCAGTCATCACCGTCACCAGCAAGTGAGCTCTGTGACCACAGGGATGACAACCGACATTGCAGCCAGCATCCGACTCACCATCTGCTCACACCGGACACTTCAGAGTGTCCCAACTTTTCCTGATTTCTGGTTTTGTGACAAGCACTGTGAAATATTTCCATGGAAACAGCATTTTCCTACAGTTTCAACAACCCAGTAGAAAAAACATGAAGAGGCAGAACCCTCCACCAGGACATGACCCTTGCTGTCCTCTACCTCTGTCTGCAGTGGGTCTCAACCTTCCTGATACTGCGAACCTAATACAGTTCCTCACGTTGTGGTGACCCCCAACCATAAGATTATTTCATTGCTACTTCATAACTTAATTACTGTTATGACTCATAATGTAAATATCTGTTTTCTTATGGTCTGAGGACACCCCTGTGAAGAGGGGCCGTGACCCCTAGGTTGAGAACCACCTGTTAAAGCCCTCCATTGGTTCATCTGACCTGGCTAGCACTGGGGACTGCTGGGCTTTTAAAAATATTTCTTTAGTCAATTTATTTTTGTTTTGACATCCCAAAAATAAACTGTATACGTTACAGCTGCCCAAGCTTCTGTGTTACTGTGACTCCTACTGCACTACAGTCCAAGGGGCAGCTTTAGAAATTCAATAAATAGTCCCATCGCCAGGTGTTCCCAAGTATTTTTTGGTTGCTTGTTTGTAATCCATCTGGAACTACCTTTGCTATGTATCATGTGGTAAAGACCTAAAGTAAAAGAAACGATTTTTAAATTGCCAACTTGAATTTCCTGGTACTGTCCAGTGACGGGCCGGCCGTGGGGACCGGCCAGACCTCCAGTCCCTGCCCTCCAGTCAGTCTCCTTGCGGGGAAGACAAGAGAATCTATCAGAGAAGATGAGAAGACCAAGCAGGAAGGGGTGATGCCTTTAGCACGTGACTGCTGTAAGCAAAAACAACAGTAGATTCCACGCTTCCTGGACTAGGGTCTTTTTGGAGGGCATTCTATGCCCGGGCAACCCTTCAGCTACGTAGACTCAGGTCATGTGTATCTGGGTGAACCTACCCACCGTTTCCGAGTTCCTTTGAGCTGCTGTTTGCTGTTCCACATGAATACAAAAGCTATGGGCGCAACCGCAATGACTTTGGTAAAGCTGAGGAAGGCCGCCAAGGCTCTCCTTACAGAAACCTTTATTACCAGTGCAGCCTCCCCTTTGCTGGACAAGCTACATACTTCTAACACAGGGTTAACAATTAAAAAACCGAATTTGTTATGATAGCCGAGGAGAAAAAGATGCTGTGATGTAATACAATTTTTTACTTTGAGATATAAGATATTGGCTCAGAACGTTCTCCCATATGGTCTTTATGTGCCATGCTTTCAAATATTTAATCTACCAAATTAATTTACTAAATAACACCTAATTACCTATTTTTAATTTTAAAATGATTTTATTGTTTTGAGACAGTCTCATCCTACTGCCCAGGCTGGCCCCAGCTCACAATGTTCACAATGTAGCTCAGGCCGACCTTGAACTTACAACCTTTCTGCCTTGGCTCCTGAGGGCTGGGATCAAAGGCACCACCACCACAATGAGCAAATTATCTGTTTGTCTGTTTGAAGTCAGACATGAAATAACATGATTGGTGGTAGAAAGTAAGTAACTCTGACACTGTGAGACCACTTTGTGTACCTTCCCATCCAACAGTACTCCTTGAGTACTGAAGACACTGCCTCTCTAGCTCCCACCCCGATGTGGAGGGATGTATAGACCATGATCAGTGGGTGAGCTACAGCCAACTTTATAGAGGAGCATGAACATATACTGTTTTCTTAGTTATTCCATTTTTCTTCTAAGAACTCTTTTTACTCCTAAAGCTCCAGCCTCAACTTGAACGAACCTTCCCTTAAGCTCAAGGTAGTGGACTTGGAACAAGGAAGAATCTCCAAGAACCGCTTTGCTGGCTTGCAGGGGCCCGGACTGTTCTGGTGCCCACTGCACAGGCATTTTCTACTTGGCCCTCACAAATGATGCTCGGTTTCCTGGAGTCCATAGCAATAGACACTAGGTTCAACCCATGCATCCCTAACATGAAGCGCGATGTGAATAAGCATCTGTTACAGCTGTTGTTCATGAGAACTGACTTCATCTCTATGATTTGTGCTGGGTTTGAAATCTAATCCTGTTGCTGTTTCTGGTATGCAGAGCAGACTGTTTTGCCACTGGGCATATCGTCCCATCTGTAGCAGGGACACTATAGCAGCCATGAGGCTAATTTATACAATTATTTTTAGAGGAACAAATAAGGCATAGACAATACTTAGCTCGGTGCTCGGCACACGGGAATTATACTCATGAAGAGTGTTTCTGCCATTTAGACTGTTCAACCAGATAGCTACCAGGCTTAATCAAACTAAAACAGCCCAGTGCAGTTGTGTCTTAGGGATATTTACACAGTATAGCTATCTGAGGATGAGTGGGAACTACATACTTAACACTACAACCAGCAAGCAAATCCTGGGGATATTGGTAGGGGGTACAATGGTGAAAAACAGTGGAATGGAAATGCAGAAGTGCCTCTCGGACAGGGACCCGGAACACTGGGGAGGCTCCCCAGACGGCATGAAGCTTCAAGGATGAGAATTCCTCAGGAAAAGACAGCAGCTTATAGAGAGGCTTGAAGGCAAAACCAAAAGGCTGCACAGCACCGTTTTATTATAGTTCCTGTAAGAAATGCTCCAAGGAAGAGAGCAGCAGCAAAGCCAGAGATGCACGCCCAGATTCTGTGGCCCGTACACCACACGATACCTGAATCTTAAAGAGATGACGTAAATACTCTCCTCAGTGTAGAGTGACACTCTCAGAAGACCCGATTTTAGAAAGGCCACACTAAACACAGCCGAGACTAGTAAATGCCTCTGGTGAAGACGGAACAGAGTCTGGGGGTGTGGAGGGATGCTCACTTCAATAAAGGCTGCAAAGCCAGGCATAGCTTGGTAGGGGAACTAGAAAATGGATGGATTCGGTCAGAGGCACGACTTCCCTGCACTCAAACCAGATAAGTAGGTGTAGTGAGCCTGGACAAAGGGATGAGGTCAGGGCTGGAGACTCAAGAGCAGTCACCTGCTCAGCGCTCAGTAGCAGGCTGTGGGTGGAGCTGCTGGGGCCCCAGATGCCCCAACACCTCAAACACTGTTTGAAGAGGCTTGAGAAGGAGGAAGAGGCTCGCCAGTCTTCTCCGGTTAGGACCAGATGTGTGGTCTCAGCAAGTCAACCTCATTATTCACAGCATTTCCAATTTTTCCACAGAGATTACATCACCTGCTTTGTGGGCCCGGGGGTGGGGGGGTGGGGGGTGGAGGGGGAGATCTGTGGGCATAAAATGAACTAATGCAGATGGCACATCTTGTCACAGAGTGCCTTCATGGTCAGGGCTATATTCAGCCACGAGAACACTGCAAAGCTGGGCAGGGGACCTCCAAACTCTGCACGTGAAAAGCTTTCTGGGAAGTGGGTGGTGCTCCATTGTTAATAATGAGAGAAAGAAGCTATCTGGAATGGATGACAGAGAAACCGAAGAGAGAACATCCCAAGACACTGGGACGCTGGTAGAGGAATAGGTTCGTCTCCCTCACTGTGTTTGGTTCAGGACTTATTCTGGGTCTCTGTGGCTTTCTTCCTAGGCACCAGCTGTACCATGCTATGAGCAATTTATCTCCATGTCACACTGATGACTGCTGCCATTAATCACTGCGTTCCCTTGGTGATGAGATTCTGGGTCTCAGCACTGAGAAAATAAGATGTATGTTTGGAGGCTGTTCATGACCTAATTAGTCTCACCCCTTTGGTCCCCACCCTCGCCGGCGAGCTGTTTTAAACACCGCCCAGCTGTCCCGGAGTGATGGGTCGCGGCAGATGTTCTTAACCCCACAAGTGCATTTTCCCTTTCTCTATTCACGCTTTCCGTATGAATAGCAGATTGTGCCGCTTCCGCCTTTCTGATCCAGGGAGGAGAGCCCACGGCAGGCTCACCCGCCTTCATTTCACAAGCTTAGTCACAGTGTAGGTGGATACGCTGACCCTGCCCCGCCCCGCCCCCCTGGAGCGGCCGGCAGATGTTTCCTCTTTCTTGTTCAAACCCAGCTCTCGGGCTCTCTGGGCTCCATGAACAAATTTACTTCTTCCTCTCAGTTGCTTCTGTACTCCACAGGGACAGGAGAGTCGTCGCCTCTCACTCCTGTCCTGCGTCTAGCAATTCCGGTGAAAGAAAATGAAGGAGTTTCGACACAGAGCAGACAGTCCGTCCACGCAGGGTTCCACCTCCCTCCCTAAGACGCTCTTGTGACACTGTCATTACTGGAGATAATGACAGTCTGTTCAAGGAACCTCGTGTGTTCCTAAATCACAAAGAAACGTTACCCACTGACTCTACTTTTAACCAGTATTTTAGATTTTTAAGCAAAGACCAGATAGCCAGGGATTCTGGCTCCCAACTCTTCATGTTCTATGATTAGTTGCAAGGCCATCTTGCCTTGTCGTAGGCAGAGTATAAATAAATCAGACTAACTTTTACGGGTACACTCTATCTTTCCCACACACCTTCTATGCCCATTCTAAACAGCAAGTGTATCACACAGTACTCTCTTTCATATAAATATATTTTGTAGTTACCACTGTTAAACTTTTTTACTAAGAACTTACAGTAGTTTACCAGGCAGCCGGCCTTGGATTAAAAAATAGTAATTACCATTCCTCTTCTTCAGAGACCACCAGTCCCGTACACCCATTTCCCTTTGCAACCACAGAGCGGAAAGTTCTGAGCCCAACAGTGCTTTTCTGTGGCGGTGGGGTGTTTTGTGGACGCTCATTAGCACCCAGAAAGGTACTGTTTGGAGCTCATGTGTAAAGTATAGGCTGGAAACCCTGACTCTGTCACTTATCAGCAACATGGCAGCTCTGGGTCTGCCCTGGCTGTCAAATGGACATCGTAAAGCATACACAAGGAGGTTTGTGATAAATGTCCAGCAGGGACTGGCATATAATAGCCTGAATTAGAAAACCATCATTGTTATGACTGTCCCACAGCTGGACGCTCTGGGGTCCCGAGTGACAAATAAGAATGAGAGCACACAGTTCATCCTCAGTTAAGCTGAAGGTGGGTTCACTACAGTTGTTCACTGCTGCGGAGTGCTACCAAGCCCGACTTTCTAACAGACGGGGCTTGGAGAGGGGCTCTCCCTGGAGGTCCACTTCCACTGGGGCCTCCCCCGAGGCTCGCCCAAGCGGGAAGGGTTTCTCTCTGTGACTATCTTATTTAATCTCAAAACTGAAGGAACAATGCTCAAAATCTCTACATATTTTAAAGTCTAACACACCTTGTAAGGGCATTGTAATGGTAAAAGGTACACCATTTAAGGGCAAAGGATAGGTACTTCTATACTGTATATGTTGACACTTGAGAAAATCTAACCATAGCTATTGTTAAAGGAGAAAAGTCAGGTGAGTACTTATGATTTACTCCCTCCAACCCTTCAAGTGCAGCAGAGGACACAGCATTTAGCGACAGGAAAAGCTCTGACTGCTCCTGGGCACAGCACTACCTTATGTACAGCCTAAGACACTGGTAACAGCAGGCAAAACTGTTTCCTTCCTTAACACGTCAAATTATTCTGATGTCACTTTGATCTACGGGACATCACATTTTTGTTGTTGTTTATTGCAGAAATATTCTGTTAAACGTGGAAACAAGTAAAGAACTTGTTTGTGTGCTTCCTGGCGGCTGGAAGAGATTTTGGAACAAAGGGAGAAAAGTAGTCGTCGCATTAATCTTGGCCTTAAGCAACTGGGAATCTGTCCCACATCTATTTTTATGTTACTATCTTCAAATATGGAATAAATCTAGAAGCACAAAAAAGTTTACTAAAGAGAGAGTAAAAGCAGACTCAAAGAGTTCTGAAATCTCTCTGGTTTCGGGTTTCATTATGAGGTCCTTTGTATCAGTCACACCTCCAGACAGTCTTTCTACCTGTTGTTTTTCTCCACATGGTCAGTGTTTTGTTGTCTTTGTCTTCCCCTCATACCAGCGGATCTTTGCGATGCCACCCTGAATGCCCACTGGCATCCCTACCTTCTTCAAGACCCAGCTCAAACACCTCCCAATGGAGTCCCCACTCACACCTCCTGCGGTCTCCCTCTCAGAGCTGCCTCATGGAAGACAGGCATCCACACAGGAAACAGATCCCACGACAGCCAATACTGTCACCCCAGGCTCAGCTTCCAGAAGCACATGAGCAGCTCCAACACCCAAGCCTGACTCAGAACAGAGCCAGGCTAGGCCTATGCCTGATCACAGACTGCAAAACGTTTCATGACACACGTTTTATGCACAGGACACACTCTGAAGAGACTGACGGTAATTCCTAGGTACCTTTACAAAACTAAGCAAAACCAACCAAACAACAACAGCAACAACACCACCAATAAGTGAATCATTGTCCTAAATTCAAGCTAAGGTTTCCAGTTGTTTCTAGGAACAAATTAGGAGTCTAGTGTGCACAGGAGCTCTGAGAGACTTGGGTTAACTAGTCACCGGCCTTGTTAGGAAGGATGAAAACTTTTACAGGAAAAGGCAACACTGATCGTTTTAATTCTGAATCGCAAACTATTCCAGTGGCTTTGCGACCCTAATAAAACGATGAGCCAACCATACAGAACTATTTAAATTATCTCCAGGGAGACGTATCTCAAGGAACTGAAAATTCACAGATAATGTAATAATCCAACACTTGAGTTTCCAAATACTGCAGAAAGAAGTGGCTTACGTTTCAGCTCAGGGCCCCCGAGAGGGTCAAGCAGCAGTATCAGCCACGACCACACATTTCAGTGTGGAACAGTCGGGCTGCAGGAAGAGCAGACTGAGTTATGACCACATGGAGGTCCAGGGCTGAAAAGAGACCTGGGTAGGCATCCCTGCTGGCAGCGGCCATCGATCCAGGGCTGAGTGCTCCAACAGCACAGGCTGGACAGGGTCTGCCTTCACCTGCTTTCTCCAGCAGCAGCAGCAGCAGCAGCAAGCCAAATCTACAAGGATCTTCTCCTTGCCATTATCTCGGGGTGCAGCATGGTTAAACTGTATAACCATCTCCCAACACTGCCCATCAGACAGTGTCAACAAACCTCCTGAGTGACACCTGAGGCTAACCCACCTCCAACAGGACTCTAAAGCGAACATCAGGACAGGCTGACAAATAGGAGCACAACTTCGAAGAGAACTGTCCCTTGGGAACAAAACGCTGATTTGAGAACTTTTACTCGAGGATAAAGTTTTTAGAAAGCACAGACTTATTCACAATCATTCACTGTTTTATCCCACAGCCGTTACTCATGCCTGTTCAGAGCGAACCAACGGTGTGAGCTCAATGTGGGTCGAAGGTACACCGGCAAGAGTCCCGTTCTTCTCTGGCAGGGCAGACCGGCCCTAAGTTAAACACAAACATTCAAGAATTCCAAGTAATCCTAAGTGCCATGAAACAAGCTGACAGGAGCCAGAGGGTGACCTGGGGCGCACAAGCCCCACCCCCGAACTGGAGGCGAGGAAGCCAGAAAGCTCGGGCATAACCCAGGGGTGGACGGTAAATGCTGCGCACACAGCTCGGCCAGTCTCTGCAGGCAGAACGGTGGGAACAGCAACGTGAGGCAGCAAGCTGGAGCCCAACTCTGAGGTTTCCTCACAGGGACAGAAAGCCACTGGGAGGGTTTAAGCAAGAAAGACTTATGTTTTCACAAGATACTTCTGGCTTGACACCAACACAGGACTCTGCCACACAGACACTAGGCAAGGATAACGCGGTGATGGGAAGTCAGCATTGTGAACCACAGCTTACCTGCTGGAACTTGAATTTAAATTATGGAGTAGACCATACCCCCACCTAAAAGGGGAGCTGCCCAATTACAACCTCCATCCTGCTGCGGACTAGCCTCAGAAGGGGTATGCAACCCAACCTGGGGAACAGCCGTTCTGAAAACAGTCTCTGCGTTCAAGAATCCCGAGAGAAGCACGGTCTTCCTACTCAGTTTTCACCTTACCACTTACAAGTTAAAATTACAGTAACAGTCTCAACCAGGGTTCCCTGAGAAACGATTTAAGTACAGCGGTGTTTCCACAACTGCCAGTTCCCTTGGGGGAACTCCTGAGTGGCTAGTGACGTAAGAGGGTGAAGAAGGACCACTTGACCAGTGAAGGCTTTCACGCCTGTAAGACACTAATCTGTAAGTCAACCTCTGATCCACTATCAATCTAGTCCATACAGTTTCCTTTTGAGACTCTCCTGGGGGAGAGGGGAGAGACGGGACAGGCGGCTCAGTGGTTAAGCACACATGCTGCTCTTTCCAAAGGACCTGGGCTCAATTTCCAGCCACCACATGGCAGCTCACAACTGGACGTATCTCCAGCTCTAGGGGATCCAAAGCCCTTTTACGGCTTGCATGGGCGCTGCACACTCGTGAGGCACAGACATACATGTAGACAAAACACCCACATGCTGTGGGATGGTCTGTATGTCAAGTGTGTTGCTGATTGGGCAATAAATAAATCACTGATTGGCCATTGGCTGGGCAGGAAGTATAGGCAGGACAAGGAGGAGAATAAAACTGGGAAGTGGAAGGCTGAGTCAGAGAGACACTGCCAGCCGCCACCATGACAAACAGCATGTGAAGATGCCGGTAAGCCACGAGCCATGTGGCAAGGTATAGATTAATGGAAATGGATTAATTTAAGCTGTAAGAACAGTTAGCAAGAAGCCTGCCATGGCCATACAGTTTGTAACCAATATAAGTCTCTGTGTTTACCTGGTTGGGTCTGAGGCTGTGGGACTGGCAGGTGATAGAGATTTGTCCTGACTGTGGGCCAGGCAGGAAAACTCTAGCTACACCCACACACATAAAATAAAAATAATGAAATCTAAAGAACATTTTTAAAAAACAATCTCCTTGGTTTGCTCACTGAGACTTACAGGTACTTCAGAGTAACAAAATTCTATATTGCTTTTAAGACTGTATAATTTTTTTTAACTAAACTGCGGGAGCTATTCTTTTTTGTCTGAACTAAGATTTTACATTAGTTTTGGTGATCTTACAAATGAAGCAAAACTTATGAGCATACAGATATATTACAGGCATTCATACCTCCACTTTAATTCTCTTTGGAGACAATTCATCTCTTTCACCACATTTTAAACCTAAAAGGAAGGGAGGAAGAAAAAGCTTGAGAAGATAACAAATTTTATTACTGAATGATCTCAGTCTGAAATGTTCCCTTGGAATACATAATTCTGAAACCACAACATGAGAAATGACATGCAGTAACCATTTACATAATGGAAGAGACTATCTCATCATTTCCAAGTTAATATTAGGGGATACGTAGACAACATTACATACTTTAAAAAGCTTCTCACTTAAGAACTCTACCAGAGAAAAGCACTATTTCATGACAATATAACAAAAAAAAGAAAAAAAAAAACAAAACCCAAAAATATCAAGGGAATGTGTCTCTTTACGAGTTCAGTAGGAACCGTTTAAGATAAATTGATAAAAATGGTTATTTGAACCGGGCGGTGGTGGCGCACAGCCTTTAATCCCAGCACTCGGGAGGCAGAGCCAGGCGGATCTCTGTGAGTTCGAGGCCAGCCTGGGCTACCAAGTGAGTTCCAGGAAAGGCGCAAAGCTACACAGAGAAACCCTGTCTCAAAAAACCAAAAAAAAAAAAAAAAAATGGTCATTTGAAATGAATGCGTAAGGCTGTATGAAATAAGATGTGTTGTGCCTGTCTCCCAACACTTCAGACATTCTTACCTGACTCAGTCTCCCTTCTGGGAGCTATCCCAGAGTTACGATAACATATCTACTACATGGCACCCATGAGTACTTAGGACATTCCCATTCTTTAAGCCACCACCTTGATATGTTCTTGCCAAGTAAATTATGAGAAGTCAATCTAAATTATATGTCACTGTAAAAAGACACTCAGGTGTAAAAAGTACATCCTGGACTAGGCAAGACACAATTTCACTTACTGTGGCATTATTTCCCAAAACAAAAGACACCCAAAAAGGCACAGTGCCAGTGAAGTTACGTCTTCTTACACAACCAGCACAGGAACCAGCTTCCTCACAGCCACCACCACGTCCGGCTGTGAGTGAGTGTGCACGTGTCTAAGAAGCTGTAGGGTCCTCAGCATCACACTCAGAGCTGAGGTCTGCGTGAGAGAATGTCTGCACCACGGCCAGAACACTCCAGCCCTAGAGTGGGGACACAGCAGGACCACTCAAAACCAAAAACGGCTTCGAGGATCAGGAGTCCCAGTGGTCACCACGTAGTGGACTGCATGGACAGACTGCATACAGCGTATTTATTTCAAACCCCAGAGAAAGGCTTTGGGATGTCTCCACCAAGAACACATGATAAATGTTTGAACAGGTAGGTTTAACAACAGATTTCAATATCATACAATGCATACATGATACAAGTATTCAAATACCAAATGGTACTCCCTGATACAAACATTTTTATGTTTTGAGGAGCCAGTTAAAAATAATTAAAAAAAAAATCTCTTTGAACAATGTTTTGGAACGTGACCACACTGTTTAATTCTGTATTGCTCCTATCCTACCTTCTCCGACACACTCATATTCTATCCATGAACGATGCTGCAAACTCTGCCCCTACCCATTCCCCACTTACCTGGTGGTCCTGTAAGTGTACTTGTAGGTGACTTCTCGAGAGACCTGCCTGGCCAGGGCAAACAGCTCATCTCTCCTCGTCAGCAGGGCATTGTCCTTCACACAGAGCTGGGCGGCCGCTTCGTTAACGGTCAGCTAAGCATCCAAAGGGAAAAAAAAAAAATCACAAGAATAAGCATTTCTACTTCATTAGATAATAGAGTGTTTCACTTCATGTGAGAAACTCACATGTTATAGGAAGAACCCCCCCCCCCCCCCCCCCCCCCCCCGTGATCCCCCATGTCAGGCGGCACAAGGGATAGCTGTCTTCTGGAGCCACGACAATTCCAAACAGCTATCTTGCTTTTACCTACTTGTATTCATTTATTCTGTATTTTTGACTAGGCAGGGGAGTTTATGAATGATAAAGAATTATTCTGCATCCCATTTATCTTATGGGGAAAAAAACCCCAAAATTTGATTTTTGAAATGGTGACAATCTTAGTTAAACACGATTATATACAGCTGGTGACATTTCTCGCCTGAACTGACATGAAAATCTCCGATGGCAACACTACTCAGATCACTTACACAGCAAAGTAATGACAAGTCAGGGTGGCAATGGAAGGTGACATCTCCGAGACTCACTTTTTATATTTACTTGATTCAATAATTCTTAAAATACTGTCATTGCTGGCTGATCAGACACCTGTACTAACACTTAAAATAGCAAACAGCACAGGAACTCGTTAATAAATCCGCATGTTCCCCACAGTTCTGTCAGGCAGACGCGGGGGACTGCCGGTGGATAAACCAGACTTCTGCTAGAAAGTAAGAAATGTCCTTCTTCACAGTGCGAGCTGTGGCAGGAAGAAGAGCTTGGTGCTGGCCAGACCTGGGGTTAATTCTGTTCCACCGCTCCCGGTGTGTAAGTCTGGACAAACAGAAGGCTATCTGCGAGCTTAACTCTGTCAGTGGGAAGACAGACCCCTCACAGGCTCTCACAGGAGGGAAGTGAGGAGCCACACCGGGTGTGAAGTTGCTGCTGGTGTCTAGGTCTTGTTTTGTTTTAATTAGAAAGTTCAGGATTTACCTTTTCCCTCTACCCAGGCATCTCACCTTTACTGATAATAACTTCTCTATTTCTCTACACTAAGACCTTTCAAGTCCTTTCTCATTTATATAATCCTGCACCTTTTCTTTTTTTACATTGGTTTATGACAGAAACTTGGCATATTTACATCACCACCTGATATGGGCTCAATGCACAGTAAATATTGTTGACTGACCAGTGAATTTTAAAATCCTTTATAACATCGTTTTTTGCTATACATATAAAAATGCCATTCCAGGAAAGAGCAATGCACTAACCCAACCTCATCCCAGCCCTTCAAACATTACAAGCAGAAAAGAACATTTATAAATATGCACCTTTGCATGCATATCTAATTATTGATTTGGCATAAGCTCCAACAAATGGACTTGTGAGACATAGAACACACTAAGATTTAATAAGGTTTTTTTTTTAAAGATTGATTTTTATTCATGTGTGTCTGTCTTGAGTGTATGTCACATGTGTGCAGAGGCCTGAGGAGGCCAGAAGAGGGTGTAAGGTCCTCTGAAGTTGTACACACAGGCTGCTGAGAGCCACCTGACTGGTGTGGGGAACTCAGGGTTCTAAGAGCAGCAAGCCTCCCTCAGACACTGAGCCACACAGCCTGCCCCTACTAACTTTTTATGTCCTACCACAATTTCCCTCTAGACAAACTTCTCCAAATAACACCACGTGGGGACACTCACGGGAGACTGTTCTAATTCCGCCCCTTGAGGCTTCCCATCTTTTAAAAAACTTTACCTACTTCATATACGTAAATGGCATTTGGTTTGGGTTTTCACTTACTTGACTGGAAATCAATCCTTTCCTATGTCTGAGTTATTTCTAAAATCTGTTGCTCGTGGCATGCCGGCTTCTTCTGTGGTGGTGTTTCATTTTCCTATAGACTCTAGGAATTACATTAACTTTGTATCATATGTGGCGTGGGTCTCTTTCTTACATTATCATTAGCCTTACAGCTTTTCCTTTGGATGTTGTCTTAGTTACTGTTCTGGTGCTGTGAAGAAACACCATGTCCCAGACAACTCTTACAAAAGAAAGCATTTAACAGCTTACAGTTTCAGGGGGTGTCTTAGTCAGGGTTATTATTGCTGTGCCGAAACACCATGACCAAAGCAACTTAGGGCAGAAAGGGTCTACTTCACCTACATTTCCAGGGAACAGTTCATCACTGAGGGAAGTCAGGACAGGAACTCACACAGGGCAGAAACCCTGCAGCAGGGGCTGATGCAGAGGCCATGGAGGGGTGCGGCTTACTGGCTTGCTCCCCATGGCTTGCTCAGCCTGATTTCTTATAGAACACAGGACCAGCAACCCAAGGATGGCACCACACACGGTAGGCTGGGCCCTCACACATCAATCTCTAAGAAAATGCTCTACAATCTTGCCTACAGCCCCATCTTATGGAGGTATTTTCTCAATGGGGGTTCCCTCCTCTCAGATGACTCTAGGCTGTGTCAAGTTGACATAAAATTGGCCAGCACAGAGGTTTAGTCCATTATCATCATGGCGGGGAGCATGTGGTATTCATGGCACTGGAGCAGTAGCTGAGAGCTATATCCTGACCAAAGGGCAGAGAGAGAGACAGACAGACAGACAGACAGAGACAGAGACAGGGAGGCACAAGCACCTGGGCCTGGCTTGGGCTTTTGAAACCTGAAAGCCCACCCCCAGTGACACACTTCCTCCAACAAGGCCACAGCTGTATGAGCCTACGGAGCCGTTCTTATTCAAACTACCACAGATGCCATGCATGGAAACTCTTCCTTCTCTAGAAACACGTACAGGTTCCTCTACTCAAGCCTACCTTACCTTTCCCATGTTAGTATTTAGTCCACCCAGAATGTGTTTTGGTATGTAGTAGGACACAAACATCTCACATCGTGTGTTTTGGTAGGTAGTAGGACACAAACATCTGATATGGTGTGTTTTGGTAGGTAGTAGGACACAAACATCTCACATCGTGTGTTTTGGTAGGTAGTAGGACACAAACATCTGATATGGTGTGTTTTGGTAGGTCTACCATTGTCCTTCCTCAATTCCCAACTGCACTGTAGTCCCTGTCCTAAGGACTGGTTTTAGTACAGACACAAGGCTGTCAGCCTGGGCTTCCACGGTAAGCTCACGGCTGAGCTAGGTGCCTCGGTGCCGCGGCAGGAAGGTGAGCAGCCTTCTTCCTCTTCCTTAAATTACCAACAAGGACCAGCTGCTTCCTCCAGGGTTTTCTTCTTCTTTGTCATTTTTTTGTCTTGTTTTTGAGGCAGGGTTTTATGTAGCTCGGGCTAGCCTCAAACTCTCTCTGTAGCAGAGGATGGCCTTGAACTCCCGTCCTCCTCCACTTCCCAGCACTGGGATTACAGGCATATGTCACCACACCTAGTCCCTGCTTTTGAAGGGCTCCATGTGACTGAGGTTAAAAGGGAAACACACTTTACAAAATGATACCAAGTGACCTGCAGGTTCAGCGTGCCCACTACAGTGACCAGGAGGACCCGTCTCAAACTGCTTTCTAAGTAGCCATTTTTATACTTGCAAATCTAAATTGCTGTGGAAAGTCCTTGATTACCAGTGAGATACCTGAATTACCCACACTCCAGAACTACCTGTTTAGGTACTGCCACAGAAAATCATTTTAACATACACTGGAAACTGTTTTATACGTCTTCTTAAAACTCACTGATGAGCAGAAAAAAACAACAACATAACACACTCACTGTCATGGAATTTCGACTCCAATAGCCTGGAAAAGTAGGCGGAAGTTTCCCTGCTCCAGAAGACCCTCCTGGCAGAAAGCAAGGCGGAGCGAGAACCCTGGCTCCCTCCCAAGAGTAGTAAGAAGCTAAATTACAGTGTCTCCCTTCAACTCATCTGCCAGCGTTCCCCAGGTTTCATGGCCTCTACCCGGCGATCATTAGCAAATCGGTGACTAAGACACTTAAAGAGAAATAGAGCTGCTATCTCTGACACGGCTAGCTTTTGCTAAATGCCACCACTACAAATTTGTCAAAGTAATAAAAACTAAGACGCTGTCTTCTAACTGGCTTAGGCATTGCTCCCATGCCCTGTTTCCACAGCCCCAAACACTAAGATTCCATCCTTATCTTCATGTTGAAGATTAGCTTTCAGTCATTTACGTCTGAACTTAAAACTTAACTCAGTTAGTTGTCTTGTCTTCAGAAACAGGTGGTTAACTGATTCTGTGACTGTTTCTTTCCCTGTAGTTAACATGCTCATCTTTAGTGACTCAATTAATGCAACTGTCCATGAAGTATTGTTGACACGAAAACACTTTGGCAAATGCTGGATGACAGAGAGGCTCAAAAGGCAACTGGACTTTATCTTTGGACATTCAAGAGGGCAAAGGCCACGGCTGCCCCTCCCCCCAAACAAAACAAAACAAACTGTGATGGTTAATTTCAATCGCCACCTTGATGACACCTGGTAAATGGGCCTCGGGATGTGCCTATCAGGGATTCTTCCACTAGGCTAGTTGGGGTAGGAAAGCATGTTCACTGTGGTGGCACCATGCCCTGGACTGAGATCCTAGATCAGGAGTTCTCAACCTGCGGGTCACGAGCCCTCTGTTCAAACCTCATCTCCAAAAATATTTACACTACAATTCATAACAGTAGCAAAATTACAGTTCTGAAGTAGCAATGAAATAATTTTATGGTTGGGGGTCGCCGCCACACGAGGGGCTATATTAAAGGGTCGTAGCATTAGGATGGTTGAGAACCGCTGGCCTAGACCGTAGGAAAGGAGAAAGAGAACTGGTCGTGAGTGTTCACTGCTCTGTTCTTCCTGACTGTAAATGCAGCCTGAGCAGCTGCTCCAGGCGTCTGCTGCCTTGACTTCCCACCACGACAGACCATGAGCCAAATTCAACTCTTCCTTGAGTTGCTTCTGTCAAAGTGTTTTAAAAACAGAACAATTGAGATACAAGCCAAACCCAAAACAAACAAACAAAAACCCCAAAATGCGGAGTAAGATAAGCAGAGAGGGGGAGGCAGGATGGCAGAGACAGTACCTGAAATGCCTGATG